CACACAATAAGACATGGCCACATAGAAATAGAGAAAAAAATATCCTCTGAGACACCCTTTATGAAGATAACACAACCTAGTGGGGTTGTCACAAAGTGAGAATTTGAGGTACAATTAAGCACATCTAAAATGAGTGAAAAGGATGACAAGAGCATAGGTACACAAGCACAATTTTAGCCAAATCTGGTGCATAGTGTTTGAAAAGGAGATCCCTGAAAATCTCTCAGCTACCTTAGCAAAACGACAGCTGCCACCTTGAGGCTCCCAGAATGTTCCTTCTATGCAACCTCAAAGGAGCGAAGAGAAAAAATGACATAAGTCAAAACTCTGAAAAAATAAGGTGCAAGTAATTGACAAGTAAAAAAAAGTACAAGTTACTTGCAAGAATGAAGAGTACAAAATAGTGACATTTGGAAGTGATTGCAAGGGACTTGGTATGTTAAAATTGCTTTCAAATTAATTGTATGATAAAAGGGATAGCAATAAAACAAAATAGGGTCAAAGCACTGAAAGAAACTCATAATTTATTTTGGTTTATTTTATATTGCGCTCGACTGTTTTCCTGAATTCTCTCCCTCCTTTCACTCGGATCACAGTGACAGACACGGAGGATAACGATAGTCTGTGTCGGTGGGCTCCCCCCTGTCTGCTTTAAATGAACAAGTAATGAGGTCAGCCCTAGCTCGAACATAAGCCACCAGTCGAGCACTAAAAAAAAAACGCCCACTTGTGAGGAGCCATTTAGTATCTGCATGACTCTACATACAAGTTTGGCACCAGCTAGGTGTTTGCTCAGACTGAGACAATTTTAAGGCTTAATCAAAGGTCCCTTCAGGTTGCAGAGCCCTGCACATACAAAGACAATTTGATCTGCTATCTTACGATGTTGGATTGGAAGAGCCTGCTTCAAAATTCTGTAAGTCTTAATGCGATTGATTGCGCGTTCAACATGAATTCGAACTGACGCAATCCTTCTTGTTTTAGTAACTTCCTTCTCGCTCAACTGGAGTTTACCTCGAGTGAACGCAGGCACATTGAGCGTGACTCCCTTGGCTTCCATCTCGGGATCGAGAGAGAAACCTCGGTCAGCCATGACCTGGTCCCCACGTCTAAAGAGGGAAATAATCCCGAAGTCCCTCACAATGTGCTTGTCAGACGCTCGCCCACCATAGACCTTAGACACGAACATCACTGTTCCGTGGGGAGCAATAGCAACCAAAAACTTCACTGTATTGTGGCCTTTGTATGCGCTATATGTCTGTGCTCGCGCGAGCAATTTTTTTGGTCGCTGCAAGAACACTTCAGTGCAATCCAAGATGCAAGTAGTGCCTCAAAACCATTCTCCTCAAAGGACTTTGGAGCATTCCTTGCAATTGTATCCTGGGCAAGCCACACGACAACACTCCTTAGAATTTGGCTGAGTGTTGCAAGCATTGCACGGAAAATGTTCCCTACAGTGGAGATGGAAACACCGAACCTTCTGGAGAGGTCGCCATACACAAGGCCAAGCCGCAGCTTCATGAGCGTGAGTAACAGCTGCTGCTCAACTGGCATCACAAACTTGCTCGACGCAAACTGGGGCACAACCTTTACGAGCTCCATAAACACGTCGGCTTGCACACCGGTGTAAAACAAAATGTCCCGCTCCTCCAGGCTATAAGTCCCATGAGGAACAGTGGGTACAGATGGAGCAGCGAATGTGTACAGATGGTCGCTGAGGCATGGGTCCTCCCACTGGACACCCTGGTGGCACACATGTGGAGCCATGCGACGTCGCTCACTGTCCTGTAAGAAAAATTTACAATACATTAACCTGAGAGTTAACCGCTCCTACAGCAAAATGCAATAGAGTACTGTTTAAAAGAAAGGGCAGGGGTCAGAAGATTACAGCACTCCACCACCCCTGCAAAGGATGAAATGTTTTGCAGGAGCGCAGTGACATCTGTGTACGAGCACATGCACCACCTAGTCACCCCTGGTTGGCTGCAAGTTCACTTCAATTTCGAAAAACTGAGATAGCCGTAGTTTGCAAGAAACCTTACCATAAGCACAGGAACGATTAACCGTGATGTTAAAGCAGGGTCATTGTAGCAGTCTTGGGTAGTAACGCGTTACTGTAATTTCGTTACTTTTTTGGTAACTTGTAACTGTAACGAGTTACTTTTTAAAAATGTAACTTGTAACTGTAGTTCTATTACTTTTTTCTGAGGTAACGATGAAAGTAACGACGTTACTTTTGTCGTTACTTTTCAGTGTTTTATGAATAATATACACCAACTCATGTTTACAAACAAACCGGAGCGCCCGGAGCGCCCCTAGCGGACGCCACCGGTGCCGCGCATGCGCGATGGGGGTGTGGGCAAGAAGCTCGCCGTCGCCCATAAACAAATCATTGAAATGAGATGTTGTCGGCGTCGGCGTGAGTCCCCGCGCTCTTTTTGGCGTTGAAATTGTTGATTCTACGTCCTCCTAACGATGCCCGACTACTTGCGAGGCGTCAGCGAAATTACCGAGGCTCATTACACCGCAAAACTTTGCGTCAATCATCTGACATGTGGCGATTCATTCCGCGTGGACGCTGCAGAATGTACGCTAAAGCCTGATTCACATGATGAGATTTCGCTCGCAATTTTCAATAGCGACGTCGCTTGGACTGCAAAAGTGTGAACCGTAGCTAAAATGTCGACGTCGATACTGAAAATCGCAAGCAGAATCTAACCAAGTGAATCAGGCATAACAAGTCGGTGATGGCCACTGGTAACAATGACCAACATCTCCTTGTATCTTCTGTTTACATCGAGCCTGCTAACCAACCTTCAAATGTAAGTCTTTTGAGGCCTGCACTCACTTCTTATCGCAAGTATCAGGCCCACGTTTGGTCTACGGGCCGGTGTCCTCTAAAAGAGCAGACAACAAGCATAAACTTTTGAAAGAGCAGACGACAGTTCGAACGATCAGGCGGCCGTTTGAACTTGAAGACGCACTGAACGTAGTCCGCAGGTGGTCCGTACAACTTGACGATTTTCCGGCGCTCATTTTGGAACAAAGCAAATAAATCTGATGGCGAGAAGTATCCGTGAATTCAACCCAAAATGCTTCCCGCCCAAGCAATGACGGTCCGACGGCATCTGGTTTTCCCTTTTCACAGCAGATATCCGCATTCTCGGACGAACCGAGCGCATGAAAACTGACCTTCAAATCTTTCTCAACACTTTTGGTACAGCCCCAGTCGCGGCATTTTGACGAGAAGGCAGGTTTTTGTCTGGTTCCTTTCAAAACAACGCAGGAATATACGTCTCACATGGGCACTTCCGCCCACAGTCCCGGACCGGAAGTGCGTCCGACGCGCCACCACCGCGGCGTGACGTAACAGAGATGAGTTTTCAATTCAATTCATTTATTTACTCCCATTTGTACATATGGGTGACGGAGACAGGGAAAAAAGCTGCAAAATGTGCAGCTCGACAAAGCCCCTGCCCCCTATCGGCAGATCGGCAGACAGGAAACGTTAACAGAAACATTTTAAAGGCGAAAAAACCAAACAGGCAGTTCTATGCAGGAGAAAAAAGTTTAAAAGTTAGAAGTGAATATTGTGCGTATTGTTTTTTTTATTTAGTGCATCAAGACAGACATGGTGGTCTCTTAAAAAGTTCAGTAATGTTGGCAATGTATGCTGTAACATTTGGAGCCCATAATTTGTTCTAGGACGAGGTACTCTCAGGGACCCGGCGCTACGTACTCCGTATACCGTATTTTTAACACTTAGTCTAGAAAACCGCAGTAATGGGTGGTTAAAATACTTAAGGGATGCCGTGTATACTGTCGCAAGCTTATATCACTGAACGAGTGCAATTTAGCCATTCCTTGCACTTTCTATATCGTCTATTCCGACATTTCGAGTGTCAAGTTGGCCTTACACAAAAGTTGTGAATACGTTCTTTCCCGCGAGTCACGACCCGAATATAGCCACGTGTAGATTTTATGAAAACAATATCTAGTTACCTTTAAGCACGCGCTTGTACTTTGTGACTGAACACTTACATCTTAGTGTCTTGAAGCCCTATCTATGTTGTGGTTTTTCTTTTTCCTGTGCAAACGCTTTTAATCGGGTGTATCAACCGTGAAACAACAATACACGTGGAGGGCACTGCGCATGTCTCGTATTTTGATTAGCGCCTCTACTCCGCACTGCGCATGTTTCGTATTTCGATTTGCGCCACTACTCTTGGCGTGGAAACTTTCAAACACTAACTTCGAGAAGCAACTGCTGCTAAGTTACAGTATGAAGTAAAAAGCTTACTTTTTAATTTTATGCAATAAAACGTTGTGAGGGGCGTTTTCAAGTTTTTCTCATTTTTTCGTGTTATACAAAAGTAACTGAAAAGTAACGTCGTTACTTTTTAAAAGTAACTAACTAGTTACTCTTGTGTTGCAGTAACTGTAACGGTAACTTTGCTACTTTTTCTGAAAGTAACTGCAACTAGTTACTCTTGTGTTGCAGTAACTGTAACGGTAACTTTGCTACTTTTTCTGAGAGTAACTGTAACTAACGAATTACTTTTTAAAAGTAACTTACCCAAGACTGCATTGTAGCCACTAACATGTATGGACACTATATGTTGAAAGCAAGGCGAACACCTTTTCATACAGCCGGCCACAGCACCCTTCATTCTAAAGAAACTTACCATGCGATTCGACACAGGTTGCAATGATGAGACGCCCAACTCCGTGTCGTCAGTGGTCTGCATGGAGTGTGTGGTTTCAAATAAATTCAAAGACTAAGCCAATGGAATAGTGCTCTAAACATCAGGCAAAGTCATGCAGATCGTCATGGTGCCCCTCATTTCTGACACTTACCACATGTTCGGATGCAGGAAGCCACAACGTGGCAAGCAAGTCTGTGTCGTCAGTGGACTGCGTAAAGTGTGTGGTCAGAAATCAATTTAACGGCCGAGACAATGAAACAATGCTCAAAACATCAGGCCCAGTCACAAAAGTCGTCAAAGCAACACCATTCTCAACGAACTTACCACATGCTCAGACGCAGGCAGCCACGTTGTGGCACCCAAGTCTGTGTCATCTGTGGACTGCGTGGAGTGTGTGGTCTGAAATCGATACAAAGACTGAGCCAATGAAACAGAGCGAAACATCAGGCCAAGTCACACAGCTTGTCACAGCATTCCTCATTCTCAACTAACTTACCACGTGCTCGGACATGGGCAGCCACGGCGTGGCGCCTAACTCCGTGTCATCAGCAGCCAGCATGGAAAACATAGTCTGAAAAAAAGAAAAAAAAAGAAATCATTGTTCAAGATTGGGTAAATGTAATGTGCTCGAAATAGCACATGCATTTTCATGACCAATTTATATTGCCTGTCTAAACACCTTTATTAGAACTTACTGTGTGCTTAGGAGAAGGAGGTCGTTGTGCCAAAGAGTAATTGTGCCCCATGAGTGCCACATTTGTGCTCTGGAACAAATGTGATATTATTCGCTGCACAACTGCACGCAGACCAAAACTGATGTTTGTGGTTGTTTAAAGACCGAGCCAATGGAACAATGCTTCAAACATCAGACCAAGTCATACGGCTTGTCACAGCACCCCTCATTCTCAAAAAACTTACCATGTGCTCAGACGCAGGCTGCCACGACATGGCACCCAAATCTGTGTCTTCAGTGGGCTGCGTGGTCTGAAATAAATTCAACGATAGAGACAATGCTCGAAACATCAGACCCAGTCACACAGGTCGCCAAAGCACCCTCATTCTCAACTAACCACATGCTCAGACGCAGGCTGCCACGACGTGGCACCCAAGTCAGTGTCGTCAGTGGGCTGCGTCGTCTGAAATAAATTCAACGATAGAGACAATCAGTGCTTAAAGTCTCCCATAAGTTGAAGGGGGTCTCTACAAGGAGAGGAAGGGGGGGGGGGGGTGTTCTGACAAGATGTACTAAATGCTAGACGCACATAAAAAATAAAAAAAAAACGCTGACTACCCACACTGTGCCTGCAACCCTTAAATTGCTAATCCCTGAATGTTACATCCCTGAAAACAATCTATTTTATTGCAAGGTATGATTTTGATTTCACCAATGCTGGGGCTGTGTAGGAGGGTCCCAGACCATCCTTTAAAATCAGTAGGGGGTCCGAGACCCCCTGAGACCCCCCAGACTTTAAGCCCTGGAGACAATGCTCGAAACATCAAACCCAGTCACACAGGTCGCCAAAGCACCCTCATTCGCAACTAACTTACCACATGCTCAGACGCAGGCTGCCACGACGTGGCACCCAAGTCAGTGTCGTCAGTGGACTGTATGGTCTGAAATAAATTCAACGACTGAGACAATGCTCGAAACATCAGACCCAGTAACACAGATCGCCAAAGCACCCCCATTCGCAACTAACTTACCACATGCTCAGACGCAGGCTGCCACGACACGGCACACAAATCTGTGTCGTCGGTGGACTGCACGGTATGCGTACTCTGAAATAAATTCAAAGACTGAGCCAATAAACCAACGCCCAAAAGATCAGGTCAGGTCACAAAGCTTGTCACAGCACCCCTCGTTCTCTGCAAACTTACCATGTGCTCGGACACAGGCTGCCGCAACGCGGCACCCAAGTCTGTGTTGTCAGTGGACTACACGGAGTGTACGGCCTGAAATAAATTCAAGGACTGAGCCAATGAAACAGTGCTGGAAACAACAAACCAAGTCACATAGCTTATTCAGTGTACAAGTACAATGCCATTGCAGACCAAAACAGAATTTTTTGTTTGCGCAAAACCAACTCACGGAAGCAGAGTTAGTGGCTTTGGAGGGCAGCTTTTTCTTCTGTAACAGAGACCACCAGAGTGAGTTCGATTAAGATTGTCACAGAAAATCAAGGAAATGTGCGTGTTTCTTTGTAAATATACCCACCTTGGTAGTCGGCTCCTGGTCACTGGCGTCACGCGCCAAACGGCGCCTCCCAAAGACGACCTGTCAGACCCAAGCCATTAGCTTGTCGTGAATCAAATGATATTCTATCGCGATTGTGCGAATATTTACCTTTCTCGCATACCCCAGGTCTAACTGCGAGACGCTATTTTCGTCCGTCTTCGTGCCGCCTACGAAGTGTGCCGAACACACCTGTGCAGTTGGGAACATGTCAGATGTCGCCAAGGCAACAGGAACGCTCAACTTACTCGTGAGTTCGTTGCTGGCGTGAAGTTCGCCCGATTCACCGCGGAGAGCCACTTTCTCTTCTCATCCTTGTCGACAGGAAAGGGGTGAAACTTGAGTTCCACCCCGTTAGCCGTTGATGTTCGCTCGAGGTTTCGCTTGCGGCTGTTGTTTGTACAGCCGAATACCGCACAATGCTTTCCGGAGGACCGAGAACGCTTATTTCTTTCCATGCGCGAACTCGGAAAGCGGCAAGAAAGCGGAGACACGAACCAAAACTGCCAAAACCACGACCCAACAACGCCAACACCGTGAGACTTACAATGTTGCCAGGTGAATGTGATGTCCCCGCTACTAATGGCGGACCGGCCGTGCCTGCCGTGCACGCTTGGTCTGATATGAGCACGACTAGCGGGGGACGTCATTTCACCTGGCAACATTGTAGGAGAAGCAGAGAACGGCTGGTTGGAGAGTGAGTTTGCTTCAACAAGGCGCGCGCGGTCCGAGGTTAAGCCGGAGAGCCACTTGCAAACGTGTATAACACACAAAAAATACCCCCACGGCGCTTCAAAAGCACCAAAGTATAAGAATAACCCCTAGTTTCGATCAAAAAGACCCTTTAAAGTTGTAAAATACTGCTAAACCACGCTCAAAAGGTCCGGCCAGATGGCATTCGCGATAGCAAGAGACCTCGAAGATGGCGACCGTGGTGGGCGATGCCAGCGAACCTAGTGAGTGACGTCAAGTGAATGTCACCTATACATAGTTTTCACGGACATCACAGCTGATGCTTATAAAATATGTGAGCGCCATTGCCATTTACTGATATAGTTTTTGTTTTGGGATGGGTGCCAGCAATTGTGGCCAATGCTGCGTTGGGTGCGTCGCTACGGTATTTGCGGCGCACGCAGTGCACATTCCTTTTTTTCTGGTGTGCGGTCACGGTCACAGTGGTGAAGTCATACCGATGTGCACAATGTTTGACTGCCGAAGAAGAGTGTCTTCTGCACAGCAGAGAAATGCAGAGCCAAATGTAGGGCTGCATCGTTTGCCGAAGGTGATAACGCGACAGTGGGAGCGTACAAGGCTTCTGTCCGAGAAACGCCGAAACCTCTGACTTGCTCGCATACATCGGAAGTTTACGTGTCTGCGGTGGTCACTTCGTTACCGGTTAGAAATACCTTGCTCAACTTTACGTGGATTGCTGGATGCTTCTGTTCGCACCCCCTGTGCATTCCCAAAGCGGCCGCGGGGCCGTGTTTGGTGTCTGGTAGTGGCGCGCTGCTGGAATGTTTTTACCTTCTCGCAGTATTTCTGTAATTGTGTGGTGTTTGTAGCACACTTGTGTTGATGGTGTTGCGTCGGCGGCGCCGAGTTTACCCTGCTAAGATTCTGCGAATTTTAGTACGACAAGTACGGGCACACCTTTTCATTTGCAGGCAAACGTTCAGCTCTCATAAAGGCGTTTGTTTTATTGCGTGTAAACTTTCCTCGTTCAGCATGACTATACGCTTTGATGGGAAATGCATCGCTGTCAGGCTCTTCACCCATCCAGCCTTGAAATAGTTGTGAGCATTCAAGGCCTTGAAGGCATTCATTTGTTGCAGCGACACATGGTTCGTCGAGGAAACGAGGTAGGTAATTAGGTCCACATGTGTTGTGGCTCGCCGCACGTCTGCATCGGGAGTTATGTCCGTGCTGACGCGTAGCGTGTACTGATCGACGCCGTCGCACGTCTTCACTTTAGATTCATATTAAGCCCGTGTGTTCCCCACAAGCTCTTCAAAATAGGAAGGGCAGAACTTATGGTACATGGCTGTCGCCATCGTGCTGTACGGGCGATACAAATTCCTTAGCGAAAAAGCAATCGAGTGGCGCACATACGGCGGCAGCAGCATCCATGTCTCCTTCTCAGTACCTGGCGATGGTGGCCAACGGGTGGAAGCAGAGGAAGTGAAGTCACGCGGGAACTATGTATATTCCTTAAGATAATGCAAGAAAATATTTCAAACTGAATGGAACGATAACCAAAAAATACCTTATGGATGTCTGTGAAGCTGCAATGGAATGTCGTGACAACATATTTGTAAAAGCAGCATCACAACGGGAAGTATGCTCACTCATAGATATTACTTAGGCCTGATCGCAGTACCGAGGCGCTTTGGTGATTCAAGTAACAACAGAGTCGGCCACCGTTACTTTTAGTACCGGTAGTTTTTTTGGAAATGCTTGTTTGGGGTGATTTGGGGACTGTGTACGTGCTATGTAATGTCGATGCTATGGAATGTCTATTTAAGCGGGCCCGAATGCCCACCTTTCCCAATGACAGGCTAGCTGCCTTGGTTGACTGCAACGAGCTCAATCGCTAAGAAGTCAACATTACTACCACATCAATTCCTATAGTCACGCTTCAGGACCCAAAGGTTTGTTATTTGGCAGGTTCCACTCAGGGTACCTCCATTCTCTTGTCCATCCAGACCAGGTCACCCCCCAAGAGGCTTCGGTCGCCTACCGATTGTGCAGTCAACAAGTCTAACAACCACTGCTCCATCCGGGAATGAAGTGCAGCGCGACAAACCGAGCACAAGGCTCCCAAACTGGGGCCGTGAGTCGTAAATGGGCCGTTCGGGACCACCGTTCTGTACGATGTTGGGCACTGGAGAAGAAGCCCCTGAAACCGGCGAAAGCCTACAGTACTCAACCACTCCTGGTATTTGTGACCAGGTTGATTCCTGCTCCTACATACGCTATCCTTACAAACAGCTGACGGTCCTAGGAGGGGGCCCTTTCCTTCCCTGCAGCATCGTCGCGCCCCAATGCTGGACATTGGGACATCGCGATGTAGACCGCCGGAACGCACCGAACACCGCCAGTGAGACCTGCAATGTATGCACACTCATGAGCCCGGCATCTTTCTTCGTGACACATAGCCCACGGCCCCCGCAGGGGGCACCTGTGAAAGCAGGTGTTTGGAGAGTGGCGTCTCCACGGACCCCGAAACATGCGGGTTCGCCCGCCCACGTCTGGCTGTGCATGGCTTTCCCGTGTCCGGGGAAAAGGGCATCCTGGTGGTTGAGCCAAGCCCGGGGTAGGTTTGGACCTTTCGGGGCCCCCGGGTGAGGCAATATACCACTTCGGCCCCCGCTTCCCGTAGACGGGTGTCCTGGCTTGGCCCGACTAGGATGGTTCAGTCAGTCGCCTTTTCTTCTACTATCCCCTCCCTTCTTTCTCCTTTTTCTGCTCTTCTCTTTTTCATTCTCACCTTTGGCAGCAAAGCGGGCTAACCTTGGGTGGAGACAAATACCTTTCTCGAACCACACTTTGTTATAGTTACTTGGTAGCACTGGTAGTGTAGCATACCCAGCCTAGCCATACTTGCTATGGGGCCCTTGTTGGGCTCGGTGGTGGGTGGTGCACGACAGTTTCTGAACATCCTCCGCCTTTCATGACTTCCGCAAACCCTAAACCCGGTTCAGGACGAACCTCTAAGAGGCAGCGTCCAGAACCACCGACCATTGAAAAAGAAACTGTCGAAGCATTTTCAAAGTTTTTTGTCATTCACTCACATGACGAACAAAAACCTGTAGCAAAGATGTCACCCTTTATTGTCGCCAAAGTGTTAGAAAACCTTGTTGGATATTCTCACAAGGCGAAGAAACTACACTCGGAAGACCTTGTTGAAGTGAACACTAAAAAGCAAAGCGAAGCGCTTCTCAGACTGACCAACATTGTGGACGTGGAGGTGTCGGTGAGCCCTCACCGTACACTAAACACGGTCCGTGGTGTCCTTTCTGAAGAAGCCTTTCTTTACACCAGTGAAGATGAACTTTTTGAGGGACTGAAAAGTTCAGGTGTCGTCGATGTGTTCCGCAAGAATGGTGAAAATACCCCTTCAAAACATGTTATCCTCACTTTTGAAAGACGGGCACTCCCGGAGACGGTCAAAGCCGGTTATTTCAACTGTCGCATCTGCCCATACATCCCCAACCCCCAGCGGTGTTTCCGTTGCCTGCGCTTTGGCCACGGATCACGTAGCTGTCGTGGGAAGGAGACGTGCCAGGTGTGGGAATGAGGGTCACGTGTCTGATGGTTGCGAGGCAGAGGCACACTGCTCAAATTGCAGAGGACCACATCCTGTCTACTACCGAAGCTGCCCCCTCTGGAAGCAACAGAAGGACATCCTCGCAGTTAAGGTTAAAGAAAACCTGTCGTACGCAGATGCAAAGAAGCGCTTTTCCTTCCTTTCTAAGGGAGGTTATGCCGAGGTGGTGCGCAGGGGCCCTGCACCACGCTCCGAGACAAAGGCCACTCAGGTCTCTCCTGAGTTCTTGGTTGCCGACCTAAAGGCCCCATCCCCATAACAGAGGCAGCATGCTGCTCCCCTGGGCAAGGACGGGCCGGCGATAGCCGTGCCTCCCTCCCTTTCAAGACGGTGGCAAAGAGTCAGCAGGCTCACCCTTCTCGTGGAGAGGGCGCTCCAGCTGACTCCTCTGCTCAGGACAGGCCAGCACTGGCTGTACCTGTCAACACAGGCCACACTCCTATGGAGGAGAAAAAGCAAGTACCTCAGTCTCTGGAGAGACAGCCAGGAACCAAAGAGCTGCGTGGGTCGCATGCAGCTTCCTTGTCGGGAAACAAGGTGGAACAGATGGACACGGTAGAACCCCTCTCCAGTTCATCAACCACCCTTCCACCCAGTTCTGATTGTGGCCGCGGATCGGGGCCTCGCGGCACGGACCCTCCCAGGCCGGCGGGCAAGTCTGCCTGCAAGGCTCAGGGAAACACTAGCGCTGCCTTGTCTGCCCCCTCGTCGACTCCGGGTTCTGACCAAGACAAGATGGAGTGGCAGACTACTAAGAAACAAAAATTTAAAAAAAACCCAAAATTCCTCCGAAGTGAAGCAACTGACTCACCTTTCCATGTGCTCCGGTTTTTGTCCCTAAAATGGCTTCAATACTCGTACAGTGCAACTGCCGTGGCCTTTTAAGAAACCTAGACGATGTCGAGCATCTTCTGGAGGAGTACAAGCCACGAGCGCTGTGCTTGCAAGAGACTCATTTGAGTCTCAGTCGCACTAATTTTCTGAGACGTTACCAGGTTTTCCGGAGGGATCGCCCAGGCTCTGGCAATTTTTCTGGTGGAGTTGCGGTGGTCCTCCCGAGAGACGTTCCCTGCACAGAGGTTCCACTGTCCACACCACTTGAAGCAGTGGCAGTTCGGTTCATGCACCATAAAGCTCTGACAGTATGCTCTTTATATTTACCACCTTCTTTCACCTTGAAATGTTCCGATTTTAACTTGCTGTTAGACCAGCTTCCAGAGCCTTTTCTTTTGATGGGCAATTTTAATTGTCACAACCCTTTATGGGGGAGCACACGTCAGGATGTCAGAGGAAAAATTGTGTCAGTTTTAACCACACAAAGTCTGTCTTTAATACGGGCCAGCCAACTTATTTTAGTCCATCATCTGTCATCAACTTCCATCGACCTTTCAATTGGTTCTGCTATTTTACTTCCAGATTTTTCCTGGAGTGTGGATTCCAATCCACGTGGAAGCAATAATTTTCCTACTCTTTTAACTTGTAGCGTAGCCCCTCCTTTAATTCATACACGCCCGCCTCGTTGGAAGCTTGACAAGGCTGATTGGAGCCTTTTCAAGCAGGCATCGCTTTTAGCATATTCTCGTCTCGGAAGTCTCACAATTGACGAACTCGATCATCTTTTGATTGAGCGCATTATCACAGCAGCCAAGCTGTCCATCCCGCAGACATCTCAATTTCTTCCTAGGAGGCCAAAGCCCTGGTGGAATTTGGAATGTGAAGAGACACGCAAGAAACAAAATCGGGCTTGGGGTATTCTGAGACGACACCCCACTAGAGATAACCTCATATCCTTTCGGAAAATGAAGGCACGTGCACGTTACGTCCGAAGAGAAGCCAAACGGGAAAGTTGGCAAGGCTGTGCTTCCACTATAAATAGCAGCACCCCACCTAAGGGGGTTTGGGATTGAATACACAAGATCAATGGTTCCTATCATGCATTTAAAATCCCCCTGCTTTTTAGGAATGGAACATGCCCAGACGCACTCGAGGAACAAGCTGATAATTTTGGGAACATTTTGTGTATATATCCAGTTCACATCATTATTCATCTACCTTCCTTCGACACAAGCTGAAGGCTGAGAGCAATCCCTTGAAAACCTCAGGAGGTGAACAGGAAGAATATAATGCTACGTTCAGCTTGCACGAGCTTCTCGCAGTTCTTCATAACACAAAGCCCTCAGCTCCTGGACCAGATGGTTTACATTATTCAATGCTACAGCATCTTCATCCTTGTACACTTCGATGTCATTTTATATCTTTATAATCGCATATGGCAGGAGGGCTATTTCCCTTCATCTGGGAAGGTAGCACATGTCCTTCCACTTTTGAAGGCTGGTAAGGATGCTTCTTGTGTTTCCAGGTATAGGACCATTGCTCTTACCAGCTGTCTCTGTCAGACACTGGAGCGAATGATTAATCATAGATTAATGTACTATTTGGAGCGTAGTAAGGTACTCGACAAAATTCAGTGCGGCTATAGTTCATCAAGGTCTACAGTTGACCACTTGGTCCGTCTCGAAACTGTTGTGCGTGAGGCCTTTGCGCACGGGCAGCACTGCCTCTGTGTTTTTCGATCTCGAGAAAGTGTACGACACGGCTTGGCGCTCTGGCATTTTGAGGGACCTGTCTGACCTCGGACTACTTGGTCGCATGCTTCGTGCAATTCAGAGCTGTTTAGACAGGCGCACCTTTCGAGTCCACTGGGAAACACTCTCCCGTGAATTTCTGCAGGAAAATGGAGTGCCACAGGGGGGAGTGCTAAGTCTCACCTTGTTTATAGTTAAAATGAACTCCATTGCTTCAGTGATCTCTCCGTCGGTTCGGTACTCTCTTTACGTCGATGATTTACAAATTTCAGTTTCCTCCTGTAACCTCTCAGTCTGTGAACGCAGGGTTCAGCTAGGCATCAACAAGCTTACTAAGTGGAGTGACAGTAGTGGGTTCAAGTTGTCTCCTGAGAAGACTGCATGTGTTTGCTTCAGCCGCAAACGTGGAATCCTCCTTGAACCATCCCTAACAATCTACAATAGTAATGTTAGTGTCCAACCTCGGCACAAATTTTTGGGTCTTACGTTTGATAGTAAACTGAATTTTATTGCTCATGTAAAAAGCCTGAAATTGAGAGCTCACAAATCTTTCAATATCCTTAAAGTTCTCTCGCACCGGTCTTGGGGCTCAGATCGATTGTGCCTCCTGCGGATCTATCGCTCTTTGGTACGCTCCCGACTAGGCTATGGCTGCTTTGTTTATGGGTCTGCCAGACAGTCTGTTCTCAAGATGTTGGATCCCATTCATCATCTTGGGCTTCCCCCGCTCCAAAGACCCGCAGACCCATGGGGTTATGAAACCGTGTGGGTCCCACAGGAATTCTGTGGGTGTTCGGGTCCCTATGGGTCCCCGCACAGTTTGTTTGGGTGTGTGGGTTGCCACAAAGATTGTGTGGGTGTATAGGTCCCCATGGGTCCCCACACAGTCTGTGTGGGTCTATGGGAGCTGTGTGGGTCCTGCAGAGGTCCTATAGGAGCTGTGTAGGATCATAGTCCTGTGAGAGCCGTGTGGGTAACCCATAGGGTTTCGTAACCCCATGCTCTGTGGGCAATCTGTGTGGGGACCTGTGGGGGAATGCACGCTCGACACCGTATTTCACTGCAGACCATCGCCAAGACCTCGCTGGTTTCATCTATATTTACTATTTCGCCCTTCTCTTTTCTTGCTTCCGCCAGTCATTTATCTTTTCCCCCGGATATGGTTGATTTTCGCAGTCGTTGACATCACTCCGATGGCATCTGGATGCTGGTTTTCGCCCCGCAGCTTCATCACTAGGCATTCTGAAAAATATGCAATGACGAAATATTTAAAGGAGCGCAGCTTGTAGACGTAAGGCTTAAACAAATGTTCATTTATATCACCTGCCACATCACTTTCGTGAATAGTTTCATTTGGAATAGCCTTCAATAATGACGTGCTTGAAAATTGCAATTGTGATATGCTCTATAAAAGCAATAATAAAAAGGTTGATTAACAAATCTTGGTTAATTAGCCAACATTATGTGACGGTTATCCCCTTATCTAATGTCCACCGAGCCCCACAAATACACAGTGAAAACAACATCCACAAAACTCTCGCCCCCTTTTTAAAAAATTCTGTTCGAATTAAAATGGCACAATTAGCAATTGTCGCCATTTGAAAGTTTAGTTTGTTACGTCCGGTTTCTCCTTTTGACAAGTATCGGGCTCATGAAAGATATCATCACCACGTTACTGTTTTCCACAACCAAAATCCCTAGTGAAATGTGCTGGTTATGCCCTTAGTGTCATTCTTTTTTTACTTATGCCCGACTACGCGGGCCGCGAGCAAACGCCAGGTGGGCCGCGTGTTTGAGACCCCTGACATATAGTGCCCCTCTCCTATTTAATACTCTAGCAAGCCAAGATCAAACTATTAAAAAATAAGTACAATGCTAATGCTGAATTCAGTTGAGTAAGTGATTAAGACATCCCATATTATAACCCTGCTTTTTTTGTCACTGCACAACAAGTACCTAGAGCTACTGTAATTTTTCACAATACCTACTGGGAGTTCACGTTGTTCCATGGGCACATCAAAGGGATAAGATAAAGTGGCATATCACGCTCTTATTTATTACAAAGGTATACCTGAAAGCAGTGGCTTTAGCATTTCTAAGCATCAGCACATAGACACCCTTGAGTCAAAAAGAAGAAAACAAAAAAGAGAATTGTTGTTCCAATGAACAAATTTTCGCAGAGCCTTTTTTATTGCGAAGACATCAGATAATATTCCGGGCCACTGTGGCATGTATTGCAACTGAAAATTATTGAAATAAAAAGGAAATGAAAAGGTCCTAGGCACCGTTTACTTCATATAGCCAGAATAAAGGCCAGCGGCACAAACAAATTATCTGGTGTTTGCACAAAAAGTGTAAAAAAAAGAGCTTTTGAGTTTTACCGAGTTTGCCTAATCTTCCCATAATTTTACTAAAAGCTTCCACAATCATGTTATACTTGTGTGCTAAATCCCGTCAGAGTGTACTGAAGGATAAATTTATGCGGTCCATCCTAAGACCACCGAAACATTGTAAACTACCAGTATAATACCAACTAGCTGCCATGATAATGCCTTGACTGAGAAGATTTTTCAAATAACTGTTTAGGTTATGATTACGTCATATAATTTGCACTCGCCTCTTAGGAATGCCACTTTCCTGGGCGTCAAAGGCGGCCTGCTGTCCTTGTTGGTATTGGCGTTCGACGCCGCCCCAGTAACAGTTCTCTGCACAAGGACACTAGACCCCCACAAAGCAACGGCCAGGTTCTTGACAGCGACGCTTGGCCTTACGTCCTTGTTCAGGATGCTGTCGTCCCAGGCTTTCCTCGTCACCATGACGTCAACATTGTGGAAATGCATCTATAAAAAAATGAAAAGAGGAGGCGAAACCGATGTATTTGGCGGAGAGGTCCTCTTTTCATGGAATGCTTCTTCGTGCATATTGATTAGAGTGAGCTTTTGTTAGTTTAACCCCTTTTTTAATACAATCATTTTCAAACGTCCTCGGAAGCGCCCATACAACAGTACTACGCTGCTCGAGCTATTGAGCTCTTTTGTTCTGTCTCCTGATTATGCCGCTGTCGAACTAGACGGGGCACTGGGTGGCAAGCTCTCTTGTAGCGTCGGCTGCTGGCAAGATTATTTGGCCAGCTCAGAAAAACCCAACAGCACGCTCACTGGCTGACTGCATGCTTTGTGATTTCACTCTTCCCTTTCCAGCCCACTTTGCCTCCAAGCCCAGCTTCTTAGATGGTGTTTCATGATCCCCCTCCCGTCCCCACCCCCTGAACTTTTCGGTCGGCGTGATGGATAGAGAACATGAGAAGACGAGCCCACTGATTTCGGTTGCCAGTGCAACACATGCCACTTTTTCACCGGTGCACGCAGTTGCTATGCAACCTCAAGCGTGGCTGGGACTATAAAACTACCGCTTTAAAAAAAAAGAGCTACTTTATGCTCCAAGATTGCTGGAGTTTCATTCACATGTACCTGGTGGACGTAGAAAAAATAGACCCTTTTCAAAACCTAATCAAACAACATTGGCGGTCGCAATTTCTTGGAGACGACAGCTGTGATTGGATCGAAGTTCAAGTGGAACGCTGACGGTGCACTCACTTCCTATCCACGTCAATCACTGACGCGGCGCTTGTTTCCAATGCTTACTCAGGATCCGCGTTTAAAGGGCAACTCCGCTTCATTTTGGTTTTGAAAAAACAATGCAGTCCTCTTCAGTATCGCTTAGGAAAACCACACGTCAAATATTATGACGCAGTTCTTTCTAAATGTTTCTTAAACGGTCCGGCAAACTTCGCAACCCGCCAAGTTGCCAAAATAGGCTGACTCGAGCGGGCGAATTCAGGCGCAACCAACAGCGCAGTCAAGGCTACGGCATGAGCGGAGCCAACATTGAGCTGAACGTCATCATCATGGCCCCTTTTTGCTTGTTTTTACTTCTCCGATCGAGCGTAGTGCATGACGTCAGCAACGTTGCCTCTCGGTGTTCAGCGGTGTCCACGTGATTGGCGTACGCGCCTGCGCAGCGCGCTTCTTGGGAGCAGACCAACCACCCGCTGTGGTCCCGCCGTTACCGCGGTCTTCCACGTCACAACCACCGTCGTCATCTCACCATTTGTGATTATTTCCTCTCGGAGTTTCGTCCACACTATAGACACAACGTGTGCAGAGTCGCAAACTTATGCCGCAGTTGTGCAGACGTCGTCGAATGCCGTAGACACCAAAACGTGGCGAAGAGTGCGGTGCAGACGACACTCGCGCCTGCCGCACGCCCGCCCCCATCCCGCCCGTCGTTGGGCCGAGGATCACGTGACATCTCGTACCACGTGATGGCCATGGACTTGGCGGCCCGAGGCCAATGTTGCCGGACGGGGCCAAAGTTTCGGTTTCGATTTCCGCTCGTGTTTAAAATTAGATTTAAAATTATATATTTCATTTTTTGCGAAGCTAACGACGTAGTGTCTTTTACTAGGGCTTTTTAATTCGAAATCCCTCATTATCCCGAAATCTTCGGAATTGAAAGGAGTTGCCCTTTAAGAAATGGCGGCCTTACACACGCACATACTTCTGAAAAGGGTTTATTGTATGGACTAAAGGTAATTATTAAGGAATGTGATGCTCTAAGTCTTTCTGCCTTATGCACTCAGTATGTTAGAGATGCAAGTCTAAATCTTTTACAAACATATGTCGCCTTAGATACGTTTTTCAGGACATTATAAGCACCACTGCTGGTGAAGTGATGCAACACCAAAAAACAATGATTTATGATGATAAGGCTGAAAGAAATCTCATTTGAGCAACATTTATCAAGATCTACATGGTCAATGACAAATTGTCAAGGTCTTTTCATAATGAAGACATCCTGCAAGCATAGAAAAGCTTTCTATCCAAAGGTATCTCCTATGAAGCCAACAATTACCGAATCAACTTACCATATCACCTTCTTCTATAAAGTTTAGGAGGTGATATTGATCCGCCTCAGCGGGTGCTTTGGCAGCTGCCTCAGCGGACGGAGGTCCCACGGCACCAGCTGCTCCATCCAAGGCGGCACGTGTCTGGCACACGTTCTGCACCACTGGAGCTGGTGCTGCTGCCACCGGTTTTGTGAAAAATATATGACAATATATGAACAGTGTGCGGCACTGCCCCAAAATGTGTGTGGTGCTACACTAAAAGCTGAGAGTGAGGTGGCAAGCATATACCGATTTGATCAACCACCCACCAGCCTTGAGCAATGCGGCTGCACTCCTGCCCCTGTGTATACAGGGAGAGCAGTGCCACACAACACAAGGCTGATCACAGTTTGGTCCAGTCCCTACACAGCATCTATGACACCATCTGCCAAAAACTTAATAGGTATAGTAAGGGTCATGGCCATGTAATTTATGATGCTGTAGCTTCTCAAAGAGAGTATGTCGAACACATAGCATGCTCCTCCTGCACTCATGTTTTCGTGGAGAGGAAATAGTATGGAATATTGTTTATAAAAAACTACCGCAATATCTGGACTTAACAGCTACCCCGCTGAAGATGAACTAACCTTTACACGCTAACCGTTAGCTCATTCCTTATTTTCTCTTAACATGTTCGCAGCTTACCTTAGGGAGGGTTATCACTTGGGATACTACGGTAGGTAGAAATTCTCCACTAATATGCAATATATACATTGTAAGACTAACCAGGCACTTTCAAACCTCATAACAATTTAGAAGGCATTACATTCTTATTTGTTGCATTACACCAAAACTCAATCCTGGGGGAATATGGAACTTCGAGAACATGGTAGTGCTTTTTGACAAGGACAAGAGGAAGGAACAGAAAATGCAGTGCGCAAACTTCAACTGCTGAATTTTCAGAGATCAACATCTATATAAGCTCTGCGCCAAAGCGCCACTCAACCAATGCCGTAAGCCGAACCTGCTCGCAGGAACTGTGTTTTTTTTTTCCGCCAAAATAATTGAAGCCCTGCTGACACAACTGTCGCCGTGACTTTTGATTTAATTCGCCTCTATAATCTCTCTTACGATTTTATCTTTATGTGTGCTGATGATCATACCTTTTTTAATCACAGGTTTACATTCACAATCACAACAATGCATCGACAGATGGCCATCCCAATAGCAACTCACTTTCTAGTTGTGCTCCCGTAATTTATTGTTAATACATCTTCCCGTCTGGCCTACGTAGGCCAGACGTGATAGTTGTTGAAAAAACGGTTAAAGTCACGGTGATAGTTGTGTCAGCTTGGCTGCGAATGGTTTGGCGGAAAGAAATACAATTCCTGAGAGCAGCTTTGGCGTACGGTATTGGTCGAGTGGCGCTTTGGGCGCTACCATGTTCTTGAAGATTCATCCCGAACTCGCCCAACAGTCAACATTGAGAACATGGAAGTTAATTTTGAACTGTATTTAATGACTTGAAGGCACTGCACAGATGTCACATAAAAATCTGGTCAAGCTCAAGGTACTATTCTGATGTGAGCAACCGAAACACTTTGGGGATGCTCAAACGTAACATGATTGAGACACTTGCATTAACTGTGTTCACCGCAGTTGCGACAAAGTTGCAGTAAACTGCATCCACAGGCTGCCATGGCTGACAAAGGCCTTCGTGGTCATGTCGTTGCCACCGAAAGCACCTGCAGTTGTAGGCTTGCAGGTCACTATGCAAAAACATTCTGTAATAGCTGTAGTATAAAAAGTCCTCTGCCACACTGGAAGAGACTGCGAGAGAGCTAGGCAGACTTAAATAGAGCTCCTGTATAGGCTCCCTACGAGAGCAAGAGTTGTGCGTCCACCCCCAAATTAAAACTTGCGTTTGGGCGAGTTGGTTCATATTGATTTAAAAGGTTAAAAAGTGCAAACAAAACAAGGACAATAAAGACACAAAGACGACAGGACGGGTGATTTTAGGGCCCGTCCTGTCGTCTTTGTGTCTTTATTGTCCTTGTTTTGTTTGCGCTTTTTAACCTTTTAAATCACTCCCGGAGCACCGGTTTTCCTGCACAGCATGTGGAGTCTGCTCCTTAGTGACTGAATTCGGCAAATAGCGGTGGCGTGCGTTCGAGGCACGTGGCGTGCTCAAAAGCAGGGGAACGTACGCCGGGGCGCGCGCAACGTCTTCTTTCCTGCACGACACTTGATCCGGCTGCTCACGTGATCAGATCTCGGCGAATAGCGGTGCGGTGGCACGTGGAAAACAGACGCGCAACTCTGCCTTCCGTAAGGAGCCTATACAGGAACTCTAGACTTTCGACATTCGTTTTATACCGTAAAATACCGGGCAAGCGCTCACTCAAGATTTTGAGATAATCATGAAAAAATGGGGGATGGGCGCTTGTCCGGTCATCAATTCTACATATCGATGTACTGTGCATATTTTCGCAGATTTTACAAATTTGGGAATGGGCGCTTCATGTGGTATGGGCGGATGCACGGTATTCTACGGTAGCTTTGTCCATTTCATTTTTTCGCTTTTCTAACATCTAAAACTCCTCATTCCATCTAGAACTTATAGAAGCCAGGAGCGGACAGACCCAAATCTCCCACATTCTGTTACCATTTATCACAAAAAAGTCTCAGCACAGAAATTGATGAATTTTAAAAGAGCAGTTATGAAGGAACCATAATAGGGTACTATCGGACAAGATAAGTACACCACTGGGAAGCAACACAACCCTTTGTTGCAGATTTTTATAACCACAAATAAAAAAGGAAGAAGGGAGGGGTTTGCAACCATGCCTAAGCAGTGCAATAATTGGTTCTCTGCTTTGCTTGGGAAAAAGTTAGACCCAAACGTTTCTGCAAGGGCACCAAAATCATTTAAAATAAGAGTACGCACCTTCTTTCCGAACCAAGGCCGTTTGTAGATCCCTGTTCAGGACCTGGACGACGTCCAACTCTTTTTGCAGCCTTCGTGCTTTGTCCTTCGAACGCTTGCACTTTGCCCGGAGTCTTGCGATCTCCTCAATATGGTGGATACACTTAACATCCAAAAAAAAGGCAACACTCAATTATTTAGAACATGTCAGTGCACATGCACACATTTACTATAGCTAATAGTAGAGCTATAAGCATTTCTAAAAAAAAAATATAATTAGGAAGTTTTGACTCCTATAGCCTTTTAAATCTCAAAAGGTTTTCAATCTCTCTTACCACTATTAGCTAAGCCAGTGGCAACAAGTTTACTGGGGCAGACCACACCAGAGACTGCAGACCAGGTAATGTTGCAGCAAGTTATGACAAAGTCAGCCATTAAGAAATATGACGAGGCGATCGGGATTTCCCATTCCCATATGTACTTCTTCAAAGTGTTTGTGCTCACTTTTAATTGAAGAAATTGAGGCGTTTGAGAGGTGGACACAGTAAAGAGAAGTTCTGCGATAAATGTAAAAATAACTGGAATCTGAAAAGTTTCTGCAGCACAGAGCGCACTGTTTTGCCGCCGCCGGCCTGTTCAGCACCGCATGCTCTCCGCTCTTTCCTTAGGGCTGCCTTCCTACATTGCATGCTGAGCAAAGCAAATAGGAGCATTTGGAGCGCTGCCAACAATGTCCCTATGAAGTCGTGCATGGGCAATCGAATTCAAAAAAGTTTCTTGAGCTTCTAAGCGCAGCACAGAGCAACACCTCTATTCCATGCCAGTTGCTTCTCTCCCACATCGCACATCTTGAAAAGCTGTTGTGGCATGCCAATAAGTGTCGAAAGCATTCGCCATAACGTCCCAGCAAGGTGCAAACGGCAGCATTGTTTGCTTTGCTTGTGGTGTCGCCGATCTGCTGTCTCCAAAGCGGGCACAGGAAAGGCAACATTTCGCGCAGGAAAGCCTCCCTGCACATGCCCAACAACGTGCAGTGAACTCATGTCACCAATTTGGTGTAAAAACAAGCGACCGAGTTACTCGTTACTCGTGCATTATTTTTATACAGTTCAGATATAGTTAAATTCAGATATAGTGTAGTATTTTCCAACACCCCCGGCTTTGTTAAAACCGGTGTCGATACCACAGCTAAGGACTGTGGCAATACAACAGAAAAATGAATCTATAACATCACTGTTAATAGTTACATGATCGTTTCGGTATATTGCCTGCTTGGCAGTCATATACCCTTCTGCTTTTACTTTTTTTAGAGATCAGGCACTCTTCTATAATAGTATGCCCGGAATCATCAAATAAAAAGTACTTTGGTGAATTAGCCAGCACACTTAAAAATACACTTTAAATGGGTTGTTATTGCATGTCATACCCCCGCTGGGGGCACCTGTGAAAGCAGGTGTTTGGAGAGTGGCGTCTCCACGGACCCCGAGCCATGCGGGTTCGCCCGCCCACGTCTGGCTGTGCGTGGCTTTCCCGTGTCCGGGGAAAAGGGCATCCTGGTGGTTGAGCCGAGCCCGGGGTAGGTTTGGACCCTTCGGGGCCCCCCGGGCGAGGCAATACACCACTTCGGCCCCCGCTTCCCGTAGACGGGAAGTCCTGGCTTGGCCCGACCAGGATGATTCAGCCTAGTCGCCACTTCTACTATCCCCTCCTTTATTTCACCCTTGTCTTCTTCTTTTCACTCTTCTCATTTCCCTTCTTTCCTTTTTCAACTCCTTTGGCGGCAAGGGCTAACCTTGGGTGGTGACAGATACTCTCGTCCAGATCCACACTTTGTTATAGTTTCTGGGTAGCGCTAATAGAGTAATGCTTCCAGCAAAGCCATATTTGTTATGGGGTGTTACCTATTCCCTCGTTGGGCTTCGTGGTGGGCGGCGCGCCACAGATTCCGAACACTCCTTGCCCTCTTATGGCGCCCCTCTCTTCCAAACCCCGTTCGGGGCAAGCCGTTAAAAGGCGCTGCCCTGAACACAAGACTATTGAAAAAGAACCAGAGGTAGAAAACTTCTCGAAGTTTTTCGTTGTGCATTCTCTCGATGAACAGAAACCTGTGTCAAAGCTTTCACCATTTGTCGTAACCAAAGTACTTGAACACCTTGTAGGGTTTTCCTACAAGGCTAAAAAACTCCACTCAGGAGACCTCCTAGTTGAGATAA